ACTTTTTTCTTCCTTTTTAATATTCATTTCATTTATTCTCTCCTATTCTTTTCTTTTTTTTTATTTGTTTTGTTCATTTTCATTCATTTTCTTTTATTTTCCTTCCTTCCATACACCGAAGAAAAGAATTTCTTTCGTCGAGCACGTTTTCTAAATAACATCATCATCTTCAATTGACGTCATTTATCTTTTTCTGTCCTCGTGAGTCTTTTCATATTCATGTCTGCTTTTTGGACAATTCATTCTTGACGGCAAGTATTTAAAGTTCCTGCTTTTCATAAGAAAACAAGCGAAATATATGTTGCTTTATTTTGCAAGAAACATCCACCGAGTTTTTTCTTTGCCATTGTTTTTCTCAACAATATTTTATAGATCCTTTGACTTCCATATTTTTTCATTATTTTGAACTGATTTTTCTTGGTTTTAATTCTCTGAATAAAACAATATTTTACAAGAAAAATATTGACAGTGTTTGCGGTTTTAGAAGTCTCCTTTCCACTTCTAAAAAGTTTAGCCGAAGTTATGCTGTCGCTGACCCCGTCTGTGCTGACAATGGATCTATCAGCCTTTCATAATAATTAATTACTTGGTAGTAAGGAAACATAAAAGTTTCGAGTTTTGCAACTATGCGATTTGGATGAATGGACCATATTTTAAAAAATCCATGTGAAATATGTTTTGTATTCCGATAAATATTGTATTTTATCTCGTATGGAAGACTTCGATATCAATTCAATGTAAATATAAACCAGGATTTTGTAAAAGGGAAAACAAATAACATTTTTATTATCAATTCAATCCCCACTTTTTATTTCACAAAGACCTAGACTAACAGGAAGAACAATCCAGCTTGGGAAATAAGATTATTTTGATAAATCTCCAAACTACAAATCGACGCAACGTTATTGAATAAGACAACTGATCACAAACTAAGCTATGGAACGTTTACAAAATAAAACAAAAAGTGAAACCCGTTAGACTACAAGAAATATATAAAAACGAATCAGAACTGAAAAAGTAGATTAGAAAATGACCCACTACATGCAAAACAGTATGCTCAAAAATAAAGAAAAGAAATTTCTAAAATAAAGAGAAGATAAATCATAAAGCGAAATGCTTACATGACAATCAACAAATGGCGCAAACGGCATGAATTCACGGTTGTTGCAAAGTTGTTCCGTATAGGCATGAATTGTCAGCATCAGGCTTCTGGTTGTTTCTGAAACTGAAAGAGATGCCAAAGATCAATATTTTTCACCCGAATTTGAAATTACTGTGTTCAATTAGATCAAAAGTAAAGAAAGAATTTTCTTCATGCTCGTAAAGAAATGCGACACAACAAAATGGTGTCTATGATTTAAAAATAAACATTTTTTATTATTTTTGAAGAGAGATGCATTTACTCACTTTTATCAGTTTAATTGTTTTATTTAATTTAAAACTTGTTTCAATTCCTGATTAAGGCAGTGGAGAACATGGAGAAGAAAATTATCAGAAGAAAACTGATAACTGACATCCATTAAAGATGGCACGTAGAACTAGAACAGTCTACCCCAGTGATTGAAATAAAGGTTTCAGTTCGACATTCCAACTACATGAAGAAGGCCGGAGCGTACAACGGCTGAAACGTTGTGATAAATACGGCGACAAAGATGAGGACAATAGTCCGAATAATGTAAATAGTGTACATAATACCTCATCTCAGAAATATAGAGAGAGATATTGAAGTGCCGAAACGTTGTAATAAATATGGCGACATAGATGAGGACAATAGTCCGAATAATGTAAATAGTGTACATAATACCTCATCTCAGAAATATAGAGAGAGATATTGAAGGGCCGAAACGTTGTAATAAATATGGCGACAAAGATGAGGACAATAGTCCGAATAATGTAAATAGTGAAGGGCCGAAACATAATACCAAAGATCATCTAAGAAATATAGACAGATACTGAAGGGAAGGAAACGTTGTAATAAATATGGCGACAAATAGTCGAATAATGTAAATAGTGTACATAATACCTCATCTCAGAAATATAGACAGAACTGAAGTCGAATAATGTAAATAGACAATGTACATAATGTACCTCATCTCATAAATATAGACAGATACAGAAACGCTCGTATTTGTCATTACCATTTCTTTCTTCCTTCCTTTCTTCCTTCATTGAGCGAAAAGCAACAAAAACTGAACTAAACAACAATGGATTTCGTTTAAATCAGGTGCGCCAGAAGATAACAAGAAAATGATCATAAAATACACAGAATGTGCATGCGTTTGCACATGCGCGCAAACTCAAACACGCATTATATATATATATATATATATATATATATATATATATATATATATATATATATATATGTCGTGTGTCAGTGTGCGTCAGCGTGTCTGTCATTTAAGCAGGAATGTATGAAATTTTTATATTCTACTCCACCAGCACCAAAAGATAATCTGTTTCTTTTATTTCTTTTTATTCGTCTGGACTCAAGGGATATGAAAAGAAAAAAAAAATTAAATCAACTAAATTTGGTTGAAGTACCAAACGATTTTCCTACGCAATACAAACTGCTCCTCTCCAAATCCCAACGTTTTTTTCTTTCTTTTTTGAACAAATTCAATCAATTTAAACACGTTCAATATGTAAAAGTTTTCAACTCCAATTTGCAAACCAGTGATTTTTTAGACGGTTTCAAAGTTTGCATTGAAAACTTTCAACGCTTGTATTTCAAATTGCTGAAAGCCAAACATTAACACATCTTTTTCAGACTGTGCGCACATAAGTCTGTTAACTTTTAACGTGTTTTGATCGGTCATTCTCCGACACTAATCAGGTGTAAATATTTATATAAATGATGAATTTTATCAATTTTCACGTAAATGGAGACTAAATATATTTTTTTTAGTTGCAAACTTTTTCCTTCGGAATCAAAAAACTGAAGGCCAATAGAAAGGGGTTTTGTGTTACGAATAATTTTCTCCGTTAACTTTTAAAAAATCTGATTTCATTAATATTATTTCCAAATAGGTTAGACTTGTCATACATTAATACTAAAGGAATTTCGAGTTTCTCGGATATTTAAAAGAATTTCATTTCCACCTTTTGAATGGCATTTGTTAATAAGTAAAATCTGATAATTAATAAATCCATACACACACACACACACACACACACACACACACACACACACATATATATATATATATATATATATATATATATATTGTGTATTTAGGCAGCAATCCTTCATTTATGCATGTTGCATTAAAAACAGACAGGTACTACGATTAAGCTTTTTATCTAATTTTTCTTGTGTTCGAACAAGTGCTTTTTTGGACACAGAGTTCGTAGAAACTGTCCAAATAATCTATAATTCTGAGCTCTATATAATATCAAATCCGTAAGTGGTAAGGACAATCCAAGTAGGTCTTTTAATATTAAAAAAGATAGATCCATGAGCAGAGCTCAATGTATTATATACAAAGCAATATGATATACATCAAAAGAAAACTTAACGCATCATCGAAAACTCGATAATAAATTATAATTTATAGTTTTTTTTAATACTTCTCTCAAAAGAACGAAATTACAAGTGGTTTAATTTTACAAAATGGTTTAAATTTATCCAGATAATAATTTGAAAATACAGATAACAGGAAATCTATTTGAATGCATTTTTTATGTATTTCTCTAGTTGTTACCCGTATTCGCCCAAATGTCACACATGAGCATTGGCTTGACAGCTGCTTCTCGTCCCCTTCCATGACTTCAATAATGTAAATCCACAGAAAATAGATTTTCTAGATCAATCCTCTACACTTAGTGTTATCTGTATTCTTTAAAGATATTGTCTGGATAAATTTAAACCATATTTTAAAATTAAACCATTTGTAATTTCGGTTTGATGTGACAAGTATTAAAAACTAACTTGTCGAAATAAATAATAATTTATAATCGAGTTTTCGATAATGCGTCAAGTTTTTCATTTTACACAGACACACACACACACACACACACACACACACACACACACACATATATATATATATATATATATATATTGTGTGCTGTCGGTTGTTCGATGTATGAAGACGTAACAAGTTCAGTTTTCGAACTGAAACCAAAATACTAGCCACACATATAGTGTATTTATCGTCCTGAAGGCTACACATTGTGCCACAAAGTTTTCAAACAACTCTTCTCGGTTTTAAATTAAGAATATTCTTTCTCCAAGTCTGGTTGGTACTCGAAGCGAGAAAACTTAGTTTGCTCTGCTTTTAGCCTGTTGGAGAAACAAATATATATTTTTTTTTCAAATGCATTTAGACTAAAGTGGATTTAACAAACTCAACCAGAATTCGAACTCAGTTTCGGTTTCGTTGATACATATATATATATATATATATATATATATATATATATATATATATATATATATATTTCTGAGATGAGGTATTATGTACACTATTTACAAAATAGTAAAAAGCGGAAGAGAACATGAAAAAAGTAGTCTTGACATATTGGACAGACTGTAAGTCTGCTGATATTACTTTATTCTACTGCCACGCACGCGCATGCACACATAGATCTAAGCAACAAACCAAAACACGAAGTAATGATGACAAAAATGAGGAAAAGGCGTTTTTTGATGGACAGACAACAGAAGAAAAGAAAGACAAGTAGGGAAAAGAAAGAAGGAAAGGCCAATAAACACCCACACTCACACATATACATGTGACAATGTCAAAGGGAAAAGAAAGAAGGAAAGGCCAATAAACACCCACACTCACACATATATACATGTGACAATGTCAAAGGAAAAGAAAGAAGGAAAGGCCAATAAACACCCACACTCACACATATACATGTGACAATGTCAAAGGGAAAAGAAAGAAGGAAAGGCCAATAAACACCCACACTCACACATATACATGTGACAATGTCAAAGGGAAAAGAAAGAAGGAAAGGCCAATAAACACCCACACTCACACATATACATGTGACAATGTCAAAGGGAAAAGAAAGAAGGAAAAGGCCAATAAACACCCACACTCACATATACATGTGAAAAATGTCAAAGGAAAAGAAAGAAGGAAAGGCCAATAAACACCACACTCACCATATGCATGTGACAATGTCAAAGGGAAAACAAAGAAGGAAAGGCCAATAAACACCCACACACATATGCATGTGACAATGTCAAAGGGAAAAGAAAGAAGGAAAGGCCAATAAACACCCACACTCACACATATGCATGTGACAATGTCAAAGGAAAAGAAAGAAGGAAAGGCCAATGTCACACATATGCATGTGAAAATGTCAAAGGAAAAGAAAGAAGGAAAGGCCAATAAACACCCACACTCACACATATGCATGTGACAATGTCAAAGGGAAAGAAAAGAAGGAAAGGCCAATAAACACCCACACTCACACATATGCACATGTGACAATGTCATGGAAAAGAAAGAAGGAAAGGGCCAATAAACACCACACTCACACATGCATGTGACAATGTCAAAGGGAAAAAAAGAAGGAAAGGCCAATAAACACCCACACTCACACATATGCATGTGACAATGTCAAAGGAAAAAAGAAGGAAAGGCCAATAAACACCCACACTCACACATATGCATGTGACAATGTCAAAAGGGAAAGAAAGAAGGAAAGGCCAATAAACACCCACACTCACACATATGCATGTGACAATGTCAAAGGAAAAGAAAGAAGGAAAGGCCAATAAACACTTACACTCACACATATGCATGTGACAATGTCAAAGGGAAAAGAAAGAAGGAAAGGCCAATAAACACCCACACTCACACATATGCATGTGACAATGTCAAGGAAAAGAAAGAAGAAAGGCCAATAAACACCCACACTCACACATATGCATGTGACAATGTCAAAGGGAAAAGAAAGAAGGAAAGGCCAATAAAACACCCACACTCACACATATGCATGTGACAATGTCAAAGGAAAAGAAAGAAGGAAAGGCCAATAAACACCCTACACTCACACATATGCATGTGACAATGTCAAAGGGAAAAGAAAGAAGGGAAAGTTAACCACACCCAATAAAACAATGTCAAAGGAAAAAAAAGAAGAGGAAAGGCCAATAAACACACACACACATATGCATGTGACAATGTCAAAGGGAAAAGAAGAAGGAAAGGCCAATAAACACCCACACTCCACACATATGCATGTGACAATGTCAAAGGAAAAGAAAGAAGGAAAGGCCAATAAACACCCACACTCACACATATGCATGTGACAATGTCAAAGGGAAAAAAAGAAGGAAAGGCCCATAAACACTCCACACACACACATATGCATGTGACAATGTCAAAGGAAAAGAAAGAAGGAAAGGCCAATAAACACCCACACTCACACATATGCATGTGACAATGTCAAAGGGAAAAACAAAGAAGGAAAAGGCCAATAAAACACCCACACTCACACATATGCATGTGACAATGTCAAGGAAAAGAAAGAAGGAAAGGCCAATAAACACCCACACTCACACACATATGCATGTGACAATGTCAAAGGAAAAGAAAAGAAGGAAAGGCCAATAAACACCTACACTCCACACATATGCATGTGACAATGTCAAAAAGGAAAAGAAAGAAGGAAAGGCCAATAAACACCCACACTCACACATATGCATGTGACAATGTCAAAGGAAAAGAAAGAAGGAAAGGCCAATAAACACCCACACTCACACATATGCATGTGACAATGTCAAAGGAAAAGAAAGAAGGAAAGGCCAATAAACACCCACACCACACATATGCATGTGACAATGTCAAAGGGAAAAAAGAAGAAAAGGCCAATAAACACCCACACTCACATATATGCATGTGACAATGTCAAAGGTCAAAAAAAGAAAGAAGGAAAGGCCAATAAACACCCACACTCACACATATGCATGGACAATGTCAAAGGAAAAGAAAAAGGAAAGGCCAATCAAACACCCACACTCACACATGCATATGCATGTGACAATGTCAAAGGGAAAAAAAGAAGGAAAGGCCAATAAACACCCACACTCACACATATGCATGTGACAATGTCAAAGGAAAAAGAAGAAGGAAAGGCCACAAACACCCACACCACACATATGCATGTGACAATGTCAAAGGAAAAAAAAAGAAGGAAAGAATAATACCCACCCACACACACATATGCATGTGAGACAATGTCAAAGCGGGAAAAGAAAGAAGGAAAGGCCAATAAAACACCCACACATACACACATATATCATGACTCCAAATATCATGTGACAATGTCAAGGAAAAGGAAAAGGCCATAAACACATCCACACATATGCATGTGTGACAATGTCAAGGAAAAAAAAAGAAGGAAAGGCCAATAAACACCCACAATACACATATGCATGTGACAATGTCAAAGGGAAAAGAAAGAAGGAAAGGCCAATAAACAACCCACTACACATACATGTGACAATGTCAAAGGGAAAAGAAGAAGGAAAGGCCAATAAACACCTACACACTCACACATATGCATGTGACAATGTCAAAGGGAAAGAAAAGAAGGAAAGGCCAATAAACATGTCCACACTGGACACATATGCCATGTGACAATGTCAAAGGGAAAAGAAGAAGGAAAGGCCAATAAACACCCACATTCACACATATGCATGTGACAATGTCAAAAGGAAAAGAAAGAAGGAAAGGCCAATAAACACCCACACTCACACATATGCATGTGACAATGTCAAGGGAAAAGAAAGAAGGAAAGGCACAATAAACACCCACACTCACACATATGCATGTGTGACAATGTCAAGGAAAAAAAGAAGGAAAGGCCAATAAACACCCACACTCACACATATGCATGTGACAATGTCAAAGGGAAAAGAAAGAAGGAAAGGCCAATAAACAACCACACAATAAACACTCACATATGCATGTGACAATGTCAAAGGGAAAAAGAAGAAGGAAAGGCCAATAAACACCCACACTCACACATATGCATGTGACAATGTCAAAGGAAAAGAAAGAAGGAAAAGGCCAATAAACACCCACACTCATACATATGCATGTGACAATGTCAAAGGAAAAGAAAGAAGGAAAGGCCAATAAACACCCACACTCACACATATGCATGTGACAATGTCAATAGGAAAAGAAAAGAAGGAAAGGCCAATAAACACCCACATTCACACATATGCATGTGACAATGTCAAAGGGAAAAGAAAGAAGGAAAGGCCAATAAACACCCACACACTCACACATATGCATGTGACAATGTCAAAGGGAAAAGAGAAGGAAAGGCCAATAAACACCCACACTCACACATATGCATGTGACAATGTCAAAAGGAAAAGAAAGAAGGAAAGGCCAATAAACACCCACACTCACACATATGCATGTGACAATGTCAAAGGAAAAGAAGAAGGAAAGGCCAATAAACACCCACACTCACACATATGCAATGTGACAATGTCACATATGCATGTGACAATGTCAAGGGAAAAGAAAGAAGGAAAGGCCAATAAACACCCACACTCACACATATGCATGAGACAATGTCAAAGGAAAAGAAAGAAGGAAAGGCCAATAAACACCCACACTCACACATATGCATGTGACAATGTCAAAGGAAAAAGAAGAAGGAAAGGCCAATAAACATCCACACTCACACACATGCATGTGACAATGTCAAAGGAAAAAGAAAGAAGAAAGGCGCTAATAAACATTCCACACTCACACATATGCATGTGACAATGTCAAAGGGAAAAGAAAAGAAGGAAAGGCCAATAAACACTCCACACTCACACACATATGCATGTGACAATGTCAAAGGGAAAAGAAAGAAGGAAAGGCCACAACACCCACACTCACACACATATGCATGTGACAATGTCAAAAGGGAAAAAGAAAGAAGGAAAGACCAATAAACACTCCACACTCACACATATACATGTGACAATGTCAAAGGAAAAGAAAGAAGGAAAGGCCAATAAACACCCACACTCACACATATGCATGTGACAATGTCAAAGGAAAAGAAAGAAGGAAAGGCCAATAAACACCCACACTCACATATGCATGTGACAATGTCAAAGGAAAAGAAAGAAGGAAAGGCCAATAAACACCCACACTCACACATATGCATGTGACAATGTCAAAGGAAAAAGAAAGAAGAAAGGCCAATAAACACACACTCACACATATGCATGTGACAATGTCAAAGGGAAAAGAAAGAAGGAAAGGCCAATAAAACACGCACACTCACACATATGCATGTGACAATGTCAAAGGAAAGAAAGAAGGAGGCCAATAAACACCCACACTCACACATATGCATGTGACAATGTCAAAGGGAAAAGAAGAAGGGAGGCCAATAAACACTCACACTACACATATGCATGCAATGTGATAAAACCCACACTGACAAGGAAATGTCAAAGGGAAAGAAGAAGGAAAGGCCAATAAACACCACACTGACACACATATGCACATGTGACAATGTCAAAGAGAAAAGAAAGAAGGAAAGGCCAATAAACACCCCACACTCACACATATGTATGTGGACAATGTCAAAGGGAAAGAAAGAAAGAAGGCCAATAAACACCCACACTCATATGCATGTGACAATGTCAAAGGAAAAGAAAAGAAGGAAAGGCCAATAAACACCCACACTCACATATGCATGTGGACAATGTCAAAGGGAAAGAAAGAAGGAAAGGCCAACAAACAACCACAATTTCACACATATGCATGCATGACAATGTCAAAGGGAAAGAAAGAAGGAAAGGCCAATAAACACCCTACACTCACACATATGCATGTGACAATGTCAAGGGGGAAAAAGAAAGAAGCAAAAGGCCAATAAACAACACTCACACATATGCATGTGACAATGTCAAAGGGGAAAAGAAAGAAGGAAAGGCCAATAAACACCCACACTCACACACATATGCATGAGACAATGTCAAAGGGAAAAAAAGAAGGAAAGGCCAATAAACACCTACTCCACACATATGCATGTGACAATGTCAAAGGGAAAAAAGAAGGGAAAGGCCAATAAAACACCCACACTCACACATATGCATGTGACAATGTCAAAGGGAAAAGAAAGAAGGAAAGGCCAATAAACACACACTCCACACATATGCATGTGACAATGTCAAAGGGAAAAGAAAGAAGGAAAGGCCAATAAACACCCACACACACACATATGCATGTGACAATGTCAAAGGAAAAGAAAGAAGGAAAGGCCAATAAACACCCACACTCACACATGCATGTGACAATGTCAAAGGAAAGAAAGAAGGAAATGGCCAATAAACACCCACACTCACACATATGCATGTGACAATGTCAAAGGAAAAAGAAGAAGGAAAGGACAATAAACACCCACACTCACACATATGCATGTGACAATGTCAAAGGGAAAAGAAAGAAGGAAAGACCAATAACACCCACACACACATATGCATGTGACAATGTCAAAGGGAAAAGAAAGAAGGAAAGGCCGCAAAACTCCACACTCACACATATGCATGACAATGTCAAAGGAAAAGAAAGAAGGAAAGGCCAATAAAACACCCACACCTCACACATATGCATGTGACAATGTCAAAGGGAAAAGAAAGAAGGAAAGGCCAATAAACACCCACACTCACACACATATGCATGTGACAATGTCAAAGGGAAAAAAAAAGAAGGAAAGGCCAATAAACACCCACACTCACACATACATGCATGTGACAATGTCAAAGGAAAGAAGAAGGAAAGGCCAATAAACACCCACACTGACACATATGACATGTGACAAATGTCAAAGGAAAAGAAAGAAGGAAAGGCCAATAAACACCCACACCTGACACATATGCATGTGACAATGCCAAAGGGAAAAAGAAGAAGGAAAGGCCAATAAACACCCACACTCACACATATGCATGTGAAATGTCAAAGGGAAAAAGAAAGAATGAAAGGACAATAACACCCACACTCACACATATGCATGTGACAATGTCACAAAGGGAAAAGAAAAGAAGGAAAGGCCAATAAACACCCACACTCACACATATGCATGTGACAATGTCAAAGGAAAAGAAAGAACAAAGGCCAGAAAACAACCACACTCAAAATGAAAGTGAAAGGCCAATAAAAAAGAACACTACCCACACACTCACACATATGCATGTGACAATGTCAAAGGGAAAAGAAAGAAGGAAAGGCCAATAAACAACCCACACTCATACATATGCATGTGACAAATGTCAAAGTGGAAAAGAAGAAGGAAAGGCTAATAAACACCCACACTCACACATATGCATGTGACAATGTCAAAGGGAAAAGAAAAAGAAGGAAAGGCCAATAAACACCCACATTCACACATATGCATGGACAATGTCAAAGGGGAAAAGAAAGAAGGAAAGGCCAATAAACACCTACACCACATATGCATGTGACAATGTCAAGGAAAAGAAAGAAGGAAGGCCAATAAACACCCAGACTCACACATATGCATGTGACAATGTCAAAGGAAAAGAAAGAAGGAAAGGCCAATAAACACCACACTCACACATATGCATGTGACAATGCAAAGGGAAAAGAAAGGAAAAAGGAAAGGCCAATAATAACACCACACTACACATGCACGTGACAATATCAAAGGGAAAAGAAAGAAGGAAAGGCCACAACACCCACATACACACATATGAATGGACAATGTCAAAGTGGAAAAGAAAGAAGGAAAGGCCAATAAACACCCACACTCACACACATATGCATGTGACACGTCAAAGGAAAAGAAAGAAGGAAAGGCCACAACATCCACACTCACACATATGAATGAGACAAATGTCAAAGGAAAAAGAAAGAAGGAAAGGGCCAATAAACACCCACACTCACACATATGCATGGACAATGTCAAAGGGAAAAGAAGAAGGAAAGGCCAATAAACACCCACACTCACATATGCATGTGACAATGTCAAAGGGAAAAGAAAGAGGAAAGGGCCAATAAACACCCACACTCACACACATATGCATGTGACAATGTCAAAGGAAAAGAAGAAGGAAATAATAAACAAACACACTCACACATGCATGTGACAATGTCAAAGGAAAAGAAAGAAGGAAAGGCCAATAAACACCCACACCACACATATGCATGTGACAATGTCAAAGGGAAAGAAAGAAGGAAAGGCCAATAAACACCACTCACACACATATGCATGTGACAATGTCAAAGGGAAAAGAAAGATGAAAGGCCAATAAACACTCACACTGACACACATATGCATGTGACAAATGTCAAAGGGAAAAAGATGAAGGAAAGGCTAATAAACACCTACACTCACACATTATATGCATGTGATAATGGAAAGGAAAAGAAAGAAGGAAAGGCCAATAAACACCCACACTGACACATATGCATGTGGACAATGTCAAAGGAAAAAGATGAAGGAAAGGCCAATAAACACCCACACTCACACATATGCATGTGACAATGTCAAAGGAAAAGAAAGAAGGAAAGGCTAATAAACACCACACCACACATATGCATGACAATGTCGGGAAAGAAAGAAGGAAAGCCAATAAACAACCACACTCACACATATGCATGTGACAATGTCAAAGGAAAAGAAGCATGAAAGGCCAATAAACACCCACACTCACACATATGCATGTGACAAATGCCAAGGAAAAGAAAGCATGAAGGCCAACAAACAACCCACACCTCATACATATGCATGTGACAATGTCAAAGGGAAAAGAAAGAAGGAAAGGCCAATAAACACTCACACTACACACATATGCATGTGACAATGTCAAAGGGAAAAGAAAGAAGGAAAGGCTACTAAACACCTACATTCACATATGCATGTGACAAATGTCAAAGGAAAAGAAAAGAAGGAAAGGCCAATAAACACCCACACTCACACATATGCATGTGACAATGTCAAAGGAAAGAAAGAAGGAAAGGCTGAATAAACACCCACACTCACACATATGCAATAGATATATATGTGACATATAAAGGAAAAAGAAAGAAGGAAAGGCCAATAAACACCCACACTCACACATATGCACACATGACAATGTCAAAGGAAAAAGAAGAAGGAAAGGCCAATAAACACCCACACACTCACACATATATATGGACAATGTCAAAGGAAAAAGAAAGAAGGAAAGGCCACAAACATATACACTCACACATATATATATGAGACAATGTCAAAGGAAAAAGAAAGAAGGAAAGGCCAATAAACACCCACACTCACACATGTCAAATATGAAAATATAAAGGGGAAAAGGGAAAGAAGGAAAGGCCAATAAACATACACCACATATATGTTAAACAAATATATATATAAACACACATATCCACAATCATGTGACAATGTATAGGGAAAACATGAAAGGCCAATAAACACCACACTCACAATATGCATGGAAAAGAAAAAGAAGGAAAGGCCAATAAACACTCACACTCACACATATGCATGTGACAATGTCAAAGGAAAAGAAGGAAATATATATAACACCTACACACCACACATATGCATGAGATAAATGTAAATATAAAGAAAGAATACAGGCACAATAAACACCCACACTCACATATGCATGTGACAATGTCAAAGGAAAGAAAGAAGGAAAGGGCCAATAAACACCCACACTCACACATATGCATGTGACAATGTCAAAGGAAAAGAAATAGGAAAGGCCAATAAACACCCACTCACACATATGCATCTGACAATGTCAAAGGAAAAAAAGAAGGAAAGGCCAATAAACACCTACACATATATATGCACATATGTCAAAGGGAAAAGAAAGAAGGAAACAAAATACCACACTCACACATATGCATGTGACAAAAAGGGAAAAAGAATGAAAGGCCAATAAACACCCACACTCACACATATGCATGTGACAATGTCAAAGGAAAAGAAAGAAGGAAAGGCCAATAAACACCCACATATCACACATATGCATGTGACAATGTCAAAGGAAAAGAAAGCAGGAATATATATATAAACACCCACACCACACATATGCATGTGACAATGTCAAAGGGAAAAGAAAGAAGGAAATATAATAAACACCCACACTCACACATATGCATGTGACAATATCAAAGGAAAAGAAAGAAGGAAAGGCCAATAAACACCCACACTCACACATATGCATGTGACAATGTCAAAGGGAAAAAGAAGAAGGAAAGGCCAATAAACACCCACACTCACACATATGCATGTGACAATGTCAAAGGGAAAAGAAAGAAGGAAAGGCCAATAAACACCCACACTCACACATATGCATGTGACAATGTCAAAGGAAAAGAATAAAGGAAATATATATAAACACCCACATTCACACATATGCATGACATATAAAGGGAAAGAAAGAAGGAAAGGCAATCACAAACATATAAAAACACAAGACAAGTCATAGGAAAAGAAAGAATATAAACACCCACACTCACACATATGCATGTGACAATGTCAAAGGGAAAAGAAAGAAGGAAAGGCCAATAAACACCCACACTCACACATATGCATGTGACAATGTCAAAGGGAAAAGAAAGAAGGAAAGGCCAATAAACACCCACACTCACACATATGCATGTGACAATATCAAAGGGAAAAAAGAAGGAAAGGCCAATAAACACCCACACACATATGCATGTGACAATATCAAAGGGAAAGAAAGAAGGAAAGGACAACACCCACACCACATATGCATGTGACAATGTCAAAGGAAAGAAAGAAGGAAAGTCCAATAAACATATACACTCACACATATGCATGTGACAATGTCAAAGGAAAAGAAAGAAGGAAAGGCCAATAAACACCTATACATATCACACATATGCATATGACAATGTCAAAGGGAAAAGAAAGAAGGAAAGGCCAATAAACACCCACACTCACATATGCATGTGACAATGTCAAAGGGAAAAGAAAGAAGGAGAGGCCAATAAACACCCACACTCACACATATGCATGACAATGTCAAAGGGAAAGAAAGAAGGAAAGGCCAATAAACATATACACTCACACATACATGGACAATGTCAAAGGGAAAAGAAAGAAGGAAAGGCCACAACACCACATACACAATAAACAATGTCAAACCCACCCACACACATATGCATGTGACAATGTCAAAGGGAAAAGAAAGAAGGAAAGGCCAATAAACATATACACTCACACATATGCATGTGACAATGTCAAAGGGAAAGAAAGAAGGAAAGGCCAATAAACACCCACACTCACACATATGCATGTGACAAAAAGGGAAAGAAAGAAATATAATAAACACCCACATACACATATGCATGTGACAATGTCAAAGGGAAAGAAAAGAAGGAAAGGCCATAAACACCATATATACACATATGCATGTGACAATGTCAAAGGGAAAGAAAGAAGGAAAGGCCAATAAACACCCACATTTCACACATATGCATGTGACAATGTCAAAGGGAAAAGAAAGAAGGAAAGGCCATAAACACCCACACTCACACATATGCATGTGACAATGTCAAAGGAAAAGAAAGAAGGAAGGGCCAATAAACACCCACACTCACACACAATGCATGTGACAATGTCAAAGGAAAAAAAGAAGGAAAGGCCATAAACACCCACACTCACACATATGCATGTGATATGACAATGTCAAAGGAAAAGAAAGAAGGAAAGGCCAATAAACACCCACACTTCACACATATGCATGTGACAATGTCAAAGGAAAAGAAAGAAGGAAAGGCCAATAAACACCCACATTCACACATATGCATGTGACAATGTCAAAGGGAAAAGAAAGAAGGAAAGGCCAATAAACACCCACATCACACATATGCATGTGACAATGTCAAAGCCATATAAATATATATATAAAAGAAAGAAGGAAAGGCCAATAAACACCCACATACACATATGCATGTGACAATGTCAAAGGAAAAGAAAGAAGGAAAGGCCAATAAACACCACACTCACACATATCATGGTGACAATGTCAAAGGAAAAAAAAGAAGGAAAGGCCAATAAACACCCACACTCACACATATGCATGTGACAATGTCAAAGGAAAAATGTCAAATATATAATAAACACCCACACTCAAATGAAAGTCAAAGGAAAAAGAAAAGAAAAGGCCAATAAACACCCACACTCACACATATGCATGTGACAATGTCAAAGGAAAGAAAGAAGGAAAGGCCAATAAACACCCACACTCACACATATGCATGACAATGTCAAAGGAAAGAAAGAAGGAAAGGCCAATAAACACCACACCACACACATATGACAATGTCAAAGGGAAAAGAAAGAAGGAAAGGCCAATAAACACCCACACCACACATATGCATGTGACAATGTCAAAGGAAAAAGAAAGAAGGAAAGGCCAATAAACACCCACACTCACACATATGCATGTGGCGCATGTGACAATGTCATAAGGACAAAAAAAGAAAGGAAAGACCAATAAACACCCACACTCACACATATGCATGTGACAATGTCAAAGGGAAAAGAAAGAAGGAAAGGCCAATAAACACCCACACTCACACATATGCATGTGACAATGTCAAAGGGAAAAGAAAGAAGGAAAGGCCAATAAACACCCACACTCACACATATGCATGTGACAATGTCAAAGGGAAAAGAAAGAAGGAAAGGCCAATAAACACCACACTCACACATATGCATGTGACAATGTCAAAGGGAAAAGAAGAAGGAAAGGCCAATAAACACCCACACACCACATATGCATGTGACAATGTCAAAGGAAAAGAAAGAAGGAAAGGCCAATAAACACCCACACTCACATATATGCATGTGACAATGTCAAAGGGAAAAGAAAGAAGGAAAGGCCAATAAACACCCACACTCACACATATACATGTGACAATGTCAAAGGGAAAAGAAAGAAGGAAAGGCCAATAAAACACCTACACAATGTCAAAGGGAAAAGAGCAGAAGGAAAGGCCAATCACCACATATGCATGTGACAATGTCAGCGGGGAAAAGAAAAAAAAGGCCAATAAACACCCACATATACACATATACATGTGAAAAGGAAAAGACAGAAGGAAAGGGCCAATAAACACCACACTCACAAAATGTGACAAGAAGGAAAGAAAGAAAAAATATATAAACACTCACTCCACACATATATATGCATGTGACAATATAAAGGGAAAAAGAAAGAAGGAAAGGCCAATAAACAACCACATCACACATATACATGTGACAATGTCAAGGGAAAAGAAAGAAAGAAAGGCCAATAAACACTCCACACTCACACATGCATGTGACAATGTCAAAATTACACAAAGAAAGAAGGGAAAAAGAAAATAAACACCCACACCACACACACATGCATGTGACAATGTCAAAGGAAAAGAAAGAAGGAAAGGCCAATAAACACCCACACTCACACATACATGACAATACAAGAAGGAAAGGACATAATGTGACAAAAGGGAAAAGAAAGAAGGAAAGGCCAATAAACACCCACACTCACACATATGCATGTGACAATGTCAAAGGGAAAAGAAAGAAGGAAAGGCCATAAACACCCACACTCACACATATGCATGTACAATGTCAAATAAAGAAAGAAGGAAAGGCCAATAAACACCCACATATATATATATATATGACAATGTCAAAGGAAAGAAGATATATATATATATATATATACACACTCACACATATGCATGACAATATATAGGAAAGAAAGAAGGAAAGGCCAATAAACATATACACTCACACATATGCATGTGACAATGTCAAAGGGAAAATAAAGAAGGAAAGACCAATAAACACCTTACACTCTCATATATATATGTGACAATAATCAAATATATAAAGAAGGAAAGGCCAATAAACATATATATCATACATTTCACATATATATATACAATGTCAAGGAAAAGAAATAAGGAAAGGCCAATATACACCACACACACATATATATGTGACATATATCATATAAAAAAAAGAAGGAAAGGCCAATAAATATACCACACTACATATATGCATGTGACAATGTCAAAGGAAAATATAGAAGGAAAGGCCATATAAATCATACCATATATACATGTGACAATGTAAGGAAATATATATATAAACACACATATATAACACATACATGTGACAATATAGGAAAAGAAAAGAAAGGCCAATAAACAACCACACTCACACATATGCATATGGACAATGTCAAAGGGAAAAGAAAGAAGGAAAGGCCAATAAACACCCACACCACACATATACATGTGACAACATCAAAGGGAAAAGAAAAAGGAAAAACCACACAAACACCCACATATACATATATATATATGTGACAATGTCAAATAAAGAAAGATATAAGGCCAATAAACACTCCACACTACACATATGCATATGGATATGTATAAAAAAGAAAGAAGGAAAGGCCAATAAACACCCACATTCACACATATACATGTGACAATGTCAAAGGAAAAGAAAGAAGGAAAGGCCAATAAACACCACACCACACATATGCATGTATATATACAATGTCAACCCACAACAATAGATATATATAGAAGGATAAACATATATATATATAAACACCCACACTCACACATATATATGTGACAATATCAAAGGAAAAGAAAGAAGGAAAGGCCAATAAACACCCACACTCACACATATATATGACAATGTCAAATGGAAAATAAAGAAGGAAAGGCCAATAAACACCCACATCACACATATACATGTGACAATGTCAAAGGGAAAAAGAAAGAAGGATATAAAATATATATATAACATATATATATACATATGACAAATGTCAAAGGGATATATATATAAGGAAAGGCCAATAAATACCACACACACACATATATATATATACAATATATATAGGGAAAATAAAGAAGGAATATATATATATATATACATACATATATACATGTATATATATATCAAGGGAAAAGAAAGAAGGAAATATATATATATACCCACACTCACATATATACATATATATATATAGGGAAAAGACATAAGGAGGGCCAATAAACATATATATATACACATATATGACAATATATAAGGAAAAGAAATATAAAGGCCAATAAACCCACACTCACACATACATATGACAATGTCAAGGGGAAAAGAAAGAAGGAAAGGTCCACACTCACACATATAGGACAATACAAGGGAAAATATAGAAGGAAAGGCCAATAAACACCCACACTCACACATATGCATGTGACAATGTCAAAGGGAAAAGAAAGAAGGAAAGGCCAATAAACACCCACACATACATATATATATGTGACAATGTCATATAAATATAAAGAAAGAAGAAAGGCCAATAAACATATACACTCACACATAAACATGTGACAATGTCAAAGGGAAAGAAAGAAGGAAAGGCCAATAAACATATATACACATATACAACATATATATAATGTCAAGGGGAAAGAAAGAAGGAAAGGCCAATAAACATATATAACTATACACATATACATATATATATATGACAATGTCAAAGGGAAAATAAAGAAATTATATATAAAGGCCAATATAAACACCACATCCATATATATACATGTACAATGTCAAAGGGAAAAGAAAGAAGGAAAGGCCAATATAAACACCCACACACATATGCATACATGGACAATGTCAAAGGAAAAAGAAAATATGAAAGGCCAATAAACATATACACTCACACATATACATGTGACAATATATAAAGGAAAAGAAAGAAGGAAAGGCCAATATACACACACATTCACACATATATACAAGGAAAGACAGACAAAGGCCAATAAAGGGAAAATATATAGAAGGAAAGGCCAATAAAGAATTATATATATATACCCACACTCACACATATACATATGACAATGTCAAATATAAAAGAAATATATATATATATATATATATATATAATAAACATATATATACACTATATATATATACACATACATGTGACAATGTATAGGAAAAGAAAAATATAAACAATCATATATATATATATATATAAATATAAAGGCCAATAAACAACACACTCACATATATGTATGTGACAATGTCATGGGAAAAGAAAGAAGGAAATATATAAACACCCATATAAACACATATGCATGTGACAATGTATATATATAGAAATATATAAAGAATATAAAGGAAAAGAAAAGAATATATATATAATAAACACCACACTCACACATATATATATGACAATGTCAAAGGGAAAAGAAATAAGGAAAGGCCAATAAACACCCACATACACATATACATGTGACAATGTAAATGGAAAAAGAAATATATAAGATATATACAACATATATATGCCAATAAATAGAAGGAATATATACAAACACTCACACACATATACAATGTCAAAGGAAAGTATAGGAAATATATATAAACACCCACATATACAACATATACAGACAATGTCAAAAAGAAAGAAGGAAAGGCCAATAAACACCCATATATATATATACATGTGACAATATAAAAGGAAAAGAAAGATATATAAAGGCCAATAAACACCCACACTCACACATATGCATGTGACAATGTTAAAGGAAAGAAAAAGAAGGAAAGGCCAATAAACATCCACATACATATATACATGTGACAATGTCAAGGGAAAAGAAAGAAGGAAACATAATAAACACCACATATCACACATATACATGTGACAAAGTCAAAGGAAAAGACATATAGGAAAGGCCAATAAACATATACACTCACACATATACATATGACAATATCACTCACAAAAAGAAAGAAGGAAAGGCCAATAAATATATACACTACACATATACATGTGACAATCATATATAGGGAAAAGAAAGAAGGAAAGGCCAATATAAACACCCACACTCACACATATACATGTGACAATATCAAAGGAAAAGAAAGAAGAAAGGCCAATAAATATATACACTACACATATACATGTGACACAAATCATAGAAATATAAAGGAAAGGCCAACAAATACCCAAACTCACATATATATATATGACAATGTCAAAGGGAAAAGAAAGAAGGAAAAGGCCAATAAACACCCACTTTCACACATATACATGTGACAATGTCAAAGGGAAAAGAAAAGGAAAGGCCAATAAACACCACACACTACACACATATACATGACAATGTCAAAGGGAAAAAAAAAGAAGGCCTCACATATACAAAAATATATCCACACTCACACAATACATGTGACAAACTCAAAGGAAATACACACCCACACTACAAATATACATATGTCAAATGGAGGAAAAGAAGGAAAAATATACAAACACCCATATATACTCACATACATATATAAAAGACATGACAATGTCAAAGGGAAAGAAAGAAGGAAAGGCCAATAAACACCCACACTCACACATATACATGTGACAACAATCAAAGGGAAAAGAAAGAAGGAAATCACAATAAACACCCACATACTCACATATATATATGACAATGTCAAAGGGAAAAGAAAGAAGGAAAATAAACACCCACATCATATATATATATATGACAATGTCAAAGGAAAAGAAAGAAGAACATATAATATATACACTCACATATACATATGACAATGTCAAAGGGAAAAGAAAGAAGGAAAGGCCAATAAACACCCACCTACACATATGCATGTGACAATGTCACAGGAAAAGAAAGAAGGAATATATAATAAACACCCACACTCACACATATACATGGACAATGTATAGGGAAAAGAAAGAAGGAAAGGCCAATAAACAATATACATCACACATATACATGTGACAATGTCAAACAAAAAGAAATAAGGAAAGGCCAATAAACACTCACACAACACATATACATGTGACAATGTCAATAGGAAAAGAAATAAGGAAAGGCCAATAAACACTCCACACTCACACATATACATCATGACAATGTCAAAGGAAAACAAAGGCCAATATATCATATATATATATACATATGACAATGTCAAAGGAAAAGAATCATATAAATATATATATAAACACCCACACTCACACATATACAATATACAATATCAAAGGAAAAGAAAGCAGGAAAGGCACATAAACAACCATATATATATATATATATATATGTGACAATTACAAACAAATATAGATATAAAGGCCACAAAACACCCACACCACACATATGCATGTGACAATATAAAGGGAAAAGAAAGAAGGAAAGGCCAATAAATACCCACACCACACATATACATGTGACAACACAGCGGAAAAGAAAGTGACAGCCAATATATATTCCACATATATATAAAGGGAAAGGGAAAGAAGGAAAGGCCAATAAATACCCACACTCACACATATACATGATAAATATCAAAGGGAAAAGAAAGAAGGAAAGGCCAATAAACACCCACACTCACACATATACATGTGACATATATATAAAGAAATATGAAAGGCCAATAAACACCCACAAAATAAAGAAGGAATATATATATATAAATACCACATATACAATTTCACATATATATATATATCACAAATGTCAAAGGGAAAAGAAAGATATAAAGGCCAATAAACACCCACACTCACACATATACATATGTATAAAGAAACAATATATAATCATATATATATATATGGACAAAAAAGAAAGAAGGAAATATATATAAATATATACACTCACACATATACATGTGGAATGTCAAAGTGGAAAAGAAATAAAAGGAAAGGCCAATAAACACCCACACTCACACATATACATGTGACAATGTCAAAGGAAAAAAAAGAAAGAAGGAAAGGCCAATAAACACACCACACTCACACATATACATGTGACAATGTCAAAGGAAAAGAAAGAAGGAAAGGCCAATAAACACCACACCACACACATATACATGTGACAATGTCAAAGGGAAAAGAAAGAAGGAAAGGCCAATAAACACCCACATCACACATATACATGTGACAATGTCAAAGGAAAAGAAGGAAAGGCCAATAAAACACCCACACTCACAACATATGACAATGTCAAAGGGAAAAACAGAAGGAAAGGCCAATCACACACTCATACATATACATATGACAATGTCAAAGGAAAAAGAAAGAAGGAAAGGCCAATAAACACCCACACTCACACATATACATGTGACAATGTCAAAGGAAAAGAAAAGAAGGAAAGGCCAATAAACACCCACACTCACACATATACATGTGACAATGTCAAAGGGAAAAGAAAGAAGGAAAGGCCAATAAACAACCACATCACACATATGCATGGACAATGTCAAAGGGAAAAGAAAGAAGGAAAGGCCAATAAACACTCACACATATACATGTGACAATGTCAAAGGAAAAAAAAGAAAGAAGGAAATATGCATATGACAATGTCAATGACAATGTCAATGCATGTGACAAAAAGAAATAAGGAAAGGCAATAAACACCCATAAACACCCACACAATGTCACACATATACACACTCACACAATGTCAAAGGGAAAAGAAAGAAGGAAAGGCCAATAAACACCACACACTCACACATATACATGTGACAATGTCAAAGGAAAAGAAAGAAGGAAAGGCCAATAAACACCCACACTCACACATATACATGTGACAATGTCAAAGGAAAAGAAAGAAGGAAATATATAACCCACACTCACAATAAACAATGTCAAAGGAAAAAGAAAGAAGGAAAGGCCAATAAACACCCACACTCACACATATACATGTGACAATGTCAAAGGGAAAAAGAAGAAGGAAAGGCCAATAAATACCCACACTCACACATATACATGTGACAATGTCATAGGGAAAAGAAAGAAGGAAAATAAACACCCACAACATATATATAAAAGAATATCAAGGGAAAAGAAAGAAGGAAAGGCCAATAAACACCACACTCACACATATACATGACAATATATATCACACATATACATGTGACAATGTCAAAGGGAAAAGAAAGAAGGAAAGGCCAATAAACACCCACACTACATATGCATATGACAATGTCAAAGGGAAAAGAAAAGAAGGAGGCCAATCACACATATACATGTGACAATCAAAAGGAAAAAGAAAGAAGGAAAGGCCAATAAACACCCACACTCACACATATGCATGTGACAATGTCAAAGGGAAAAAAGAAGGAAAGGCCAATAAACACCCACACTCACACATATACATGTGACAATGTCAAAGGAAAAGAAAGAAGGAAAGGCCAATAAACACCCACACTCACACATATGCATGTGACAATGTCAAAGGAAAAGAAAGAAGGAAAGGCCAATAAACACCCACACTCACACATATACATGTGACAATGTCAAAGGAAAAGAAAGAAGGAAAGGCCAATAAACACCCACACACTCACACATGACATATACATGTGACAATGTAAAGGGAAAAGAAAAGAAGGAAAGGTAATAAACACCCACACTCACACATATACATGTGACAATAAATAAACACCCACACTCACACATATCATGTGACAATGTCAAAGGAAAAGAAAGAAGGAAAGGCCAACAAACACCCACACTCACACATATACATGTGACAATGTCAAAGGGAAAAGAAAGAAGGAAAGCCAATAAACACCCACACTCACACATATACATAAACAATGTCAAAGGGAAAAGAAAAAAGGAAAGGCCAATAAACACCCACATCCACATACATGTGACAATGTCAAAGGGAAAAGAAAGAAGGAAAGGCCAATAAACACCCACACTCACACATATACATGTGACAATGTCAAAGGGAAAAGAAAGAAGGAAAGGCCAATAAACACCCACACTCACACATATGCATGTGACAATGTCAAAGGGAAAAGTCAAAAGAAGGAAAGGCCAATAAACACCCACACTACACATATACATATGACAATGTCAAAGGGAAAAGGAAGGAAAGAAATGTGACAAGGAAAGGCCAATAAACACCCACACTCACACATATGCAATGTGCCAATAAACACAATCCACACATATTCATGTGACAATGGGAAAAGAAAGAAGGAAAGGCCAATAAACACCCACACTCACACATATACATGTGACAATGTCAAAGGAAAAAGAAAGAAGGAAAGGCCAATAAACACCCACACTCACACATATACATGTGACAATGTCAAAGGGGAAAAGAAAGAAGGAAAGGCCAATAAACACACACACACACACACATATACATGTGACAATGTGTACACATAAAGGGTCAAAAAAAGAAGAAGGAAAGGCCAATAAACACCCACACTCACACATATGCATGTGACAATGTCAAAGGAAAAGAAAGAAGGAAAGGCCAATAAACACCCACACTCACACATATACATGTGACAATGTCAAAGGAAAAGAAAGAAGGAAAGGCCAATAAACACCCACACTCACACATATACATGTGACAATGTCAAAGGAAAAGAAAGAAGGAAAGGCCAATAACACCACACTCACACATATACATGTGACAATGTCAAAGGGAAAAGAAAGAAGGAAAGGCCAATAAACACCACACACTCAAAAGGGAAAAGAACGAAGGAAAGGCCAATAAACACCCACATATACATGTGACAATGTCAAAGGGAAAAGAAAGAAGGAAAGGCCAATAAACACCTCACACTACACACATATACATGTGACAATGTCAAAGGGAAAAGAAAGAAGGAAAGGCCAATAAACACCCACATGTCTCACACATATACATGTGACAATGTCAAAGGGAAAAGAAAAGAAGGAAAGGCCAATAAACACCCACACTCACACATATACATGTGACAATGTCAAAGGGAAAAGAAAGAAGGAAAGGCCAATAAACACCCACACTCACACATATGCATATGACAATGTGACACACTCACACAATGCATGTGACAATGTAAAAAGGAAAAAAAGAAGGAAAGGCCAATAAACACCCACACTCACACATATACATGTGACAATGTCAAGGAAAAGAAAGAAGGAAAGGCCAATAAACACCCACACTCACACATATACATGGACAAAAATGTCAAAAGAAAAGAAGAAAAGGCCAATAAAAACACTCACACACATGTGACAATGTCAAAGGAAAAGAAAGAAGGAAAACATAAACACACACATACATGTGACAATGTCAAAGGGAAAAGAAAGAAGGAAAGGCCAATAAACACCCACACTCACACATATACATGTGACAATGTCAAAGGAAAAGAAAGAAGGAAAGGCCAATAAACACCCACACTCACACATATACATGTGACAATGTCAAAGGGAAAAGAAAGAAGGAAAGGCCAATAAACACCCACCAATACATATACATGTGACAATGTCAAAGGGAAAAGAAAGAAGGAAAGGCCAATAAACACCCACACTCACACATATACATGTGACAATGTCAAAGGGAAAAGAAAGAAGGAAAGGCCAATAAACACCCACACTCACACATATACATGTGACAATGTCAAAGGGAAAAGAAAGAAGGAAAGGCCAATAAACACCCACACTCACACATATACATGTGACAATGTCAAAGGGAAAAGAAAGAAAGAAAGGCCAATAAACACCCACACTCACACATATGCATGTGACAATGTCAAGGAAAAGAAAGAAGGAAAGGCCAATAAACATACACTCACACATATACATGTGACAATGTCAAAGGGAAAAGAAAGAAGGAAAGGCCAATAAACACCCACACTCCACCATATACATGTGACAATGTCAAAGGAAAAGAAAGAAGAAAACCAATAAACACCCACACACATATACATGTGACAATGTCAAAGGGAAAGAAAGAAGGAAAGGCCAATAAACACCCACACTCACACACATATACATGTGACAATGTCAAATGGGAAAAGAAAGAAGGAAAGGCCAATAAACACCCACACTCACACATATACATGTGACAATGTCAAAGGAAAAAAGAAAGAAGGAACCCAATAAACACCCACACACACATATACATGTGACAATGTCATGTCAAAGGGAAAAGAAAGAAGGAAAGGCCAATAAACACCCACACTCACACATATACATGTGACAATGTCAAAGGAAAAGAAAGAAGGAAAGGCCAATAAACACCCACACTCACACATATGCATGTGACAATGTCAATGGGTAAAAAGAAAGAAGGAAAAGGCCAATAAACCCACACTCACACATATACATGTGACAATGTCAAAGGGAAAAGAAAGAAAGGACCAATAAACACCCACACTCACACATAAAAAGTCAATGGGAAAAGGAAAAAGCCAATAAACACCCACACTCACACATATACATGTGACAATGTCAAAGGGAAAAGAAAGAAGGCCAATAAACATGTCAAAGGAACACAAAGGCCAATAAACACCCACACTCACACATATACATGTGACAATGTCAAAGGGAAAAGAAAGAAGGAAAGGCCAATAAACACCTACACTGACAATTTCAAAGGGAAAAAGAAAAGAAGGAAACACATATACCTGTGACAATGTCAAAGGGAAAAGAAAGAAGGAAAGGCCAATAAACACCTACACTCACACATATACATGTGACAATGTCAAAGGGAAAAGAAAGAAGGAAAGGCCAATAAACACCTACACTCACACATATACATGTCAAGTCAAATTTCATGAAACATTTGACTAAGAAATTGATTTTGTTTGTTTTGTCTTTTTATAAATGTTTTGACCATGTGCGGAAATTTATTGTTTGATTTTGATTGGCACGCTTTAAATGTTTTGTCTAAGGTCATGTTTGGCATGATTTCATCTTGTATATGCTGCAGTCGTAATTTTTATTTTGTTGGGGAAAATCTGGCCACGAGAGTTTCGCTGTTTTTTTGTTTTTTTTTTTTACTTGAAAAATTAAATTTGACCATATTTCGGTAATTGGCCACAAGGAAAGCCAGAATTTGCGTACGTAATGGAATGGAAATTCATTTTGAAAAAAAAAGACTGACGGCATTTTGTGATGTGGCATTCCAACTTTGATTTCTGTGGACTGTTAATGAGTTTAAATTTTTTGCGACTATGTTTTTGCGTGCATTCAGCTGTTTTAAGTTTAGAATTATTTTGTTAATTGTAATTAACTGACTAATGATTGTTTTGTTTTTTTTCATTTTTGTAACAGACTGTGAATAATTAGATTCAGCTTGCATGGTTTCGGATTTCGGAATTTTTGGGTCTGTGTCCCCAGGTGGAAATGGTCACGCCTAGATATGTAGTTAGGGACTAGAATGGGGGCCTGTCCGCCATGAGTTATTTATATCGAAGAAATATATCCTAAGATACCCCTGGGTCAATTTTTGGGGCCCCCGTTATTTGGGATGCCAAGTTGCAATAACGACTAAGGGATCAAGGACCCTTGTAACCACGGTAGAGCCAGCAATGGATTAGTTAGGGGATGCGAGCTGAGTTTTGACACACAGAGGCAGATGAGAAATGATAGTAACTATAGGAAATTAATGGTAGTAAAAATTGTGAAGATCTGTTGAAGTGAATCTAGTAATATGCAAGTAAAAACTTAATTGGTTGTTTGAATAAATAGGATGATAATGAACCATGTGTGCTGTGTCACTGTGAGGGGGGGGAAGAGAGTAGATCATAGCATATTTAACGTTTAAAAATTGGGTGGCAAGGACGTGGCTCAGTTAGGGAATCGCTTAACGCTATAGCGTGGGGTTTTTGGTATGTATTGTGTGTTTTTTTGGACCAGTATATTTGTTTTTCAATGAATTATATTAAGACATTTTTATACATTCTTTTTATAGATACAAATATTTAAGTAAATGCTCTGTTTATAATAAATAGTATTAAACAACATTTACAGGCCTGAATGTCCGAGAAATTTTCATAAAAATATTCGTCCTCCGACAGGAATCGAACCTGTATCCTATACGGAACCGTCATATAGCCTGACGTGCCTTCGCCGATTTGGCCTCAGAGGATCGTTCGATTAGCAAGGTCGATTTTACTGTCTTTAAATTACAACATTCCATGATTCTCTCATGTACATTCATATCTGCTCAATGCGTATCCAGATGTAAACAAATGACGTTACACATTATGAAAAGGACAAAGTCCGACAATTATTTTAAGACATTTTTATGTTTATAAATTCTTTTTATAGATACAAATAAGGCCGGTAAATGTTAATATTGTTTATTATAAACAGAGCATTTACTTAAATATTTGTATCTATAAAAAGAATGTATAAACATAAAAATGTCTTAAAATATTGGACAGTCTACATTATCAACAACAAAATCTAGCTTCCTTTGAGAAATGTTTTTACTCTGTATTTCGTAGGATATGAAAGGAGTTCTGCAGAAACCTGGTGGGGCTTTTACTGCATAGCTTTTCATTCATTATTTCTGAAGTTCAAGAAATTTAAGGAAAGAGACAAAAGGCCGTTTGCAGAACAAGGAAGATGGAAAAGCATAGATCTACATAACAACATGTTGTTTGTCACCCAAATAAAAGACAAAGATTTTGAAAATGGTATGTACAAGGTAACCAAAAAAGTTCTGTCCGTTGAAATATATACGAAATGCGTGTTTTTCAAATTTGGACAGCCGAAAGTAGGAACATCAGACGTTATAAAAAACGGCCATCAGTTATAAGCCAGCAGCTGCATCAAGTCGCCACATATGTCAAGCGTTTGGGGATAGTGCTGTGGATGAACGTACTGCAAGACGTTGGTTTCGAAAATTCAAGTCGGGAGATTTGTCTCTCCATGATGAGCCTCGCAGTGGACGACCACAGGTCTTGAATGACGGAGTACTGAAGGCGGCCATTGAAGAGGACAGTAGTCTAACATGTGTTGAACTTGCAAGACAGTTCAACGTTTCCGATGAAACAGTTAGACTTCACCTGCAGCGCCTAGGTAAGATGTACAAACTGAGCAAGTGGGTT